GATGGGGGATGGGGGATGGTAATTTCTGAAATGGATGTCTATACCAAATGAGTATATGTATTCTATTTATGTCTCCTGTCTTCTGAACTTTATCCTAATATAGATGAGATCCACAGGCACAAAATGCTGGATGRGTCACATGTACTTATCACACTTTCAATAATACCTGAGTCTGTTGTCGTAATGCTTGTACTCCGCCATTGCAAAATCATTGTCAGCATAATACACTCAATATGCATCAAGATGCTGAAATGACTGCCCCACGATATTTGCAAAATGTTCTCAGTTGTGGAGCTGTGCATTTTATGAAATTMATCTCTTCTTATATGGTCTTGTTATGATCGAACTGTAAATGTCAATCGACGCCATTATTTCAAGAAAACTTTGTCTATTTCCCACCTGCTGGAAGACCCACGATACATTGCACACGTGATTCAAGATGGCCACCGCATCGTCCAAAAGTATCCATTCCCTTTTAGTATATTATATCTAGTATATTATATTATATCTATTAGCGTAGATGATGTCACTTACCAATCACTCTATTAAAATGCCTGGGCTGGATGTCCTATTCTTTTACGTACAGTGTATGCACGACAACTGATAGCCTGTGTTCCCCAGGCTATACCCTAGCTGCAAGTTAAAGAAACAGCTCGGCTGTACGAAACGTTGTTACGCTGAATATTATACYACTATGACCTCGTTTGTCATCAAATAATTTTACAATGCACATATCCTGCATTGTATAGTACAGGCATACAWGTAGTATAGATGAGTCACATGCCTGGGTTTTCAGTAATGATATCTATATATTTGATATATAGAGGGCAGAACATCCCATCCTCGAAAAGAAATATCTTGTTAATTTACTGTATACCTTTGTTAGGAGTGATGATCGAGCTAGTAAATAAATAAATTAAAAATTAATTAATTAATACATCAAAAAAATAAATTAAAAAAAATTGAGAACACACTTACTTTTCAAAGCTACAGGACGTGGAAATATTCCGTGTGGAATGCAACTCTTTGCATAATTACTGCAAAAAATACGAATACTCGACAGTAGGTTCATATTATGGCTGCCACTCGTTGTATACATTCTTCGCATATCTGACGTTGATGGATYGGAGATGTTGTTCAGAAACGGAAACTTCTAATCGACCTGTGATAAACTGATGATGACACGTCTAGAAYAGCAATAGCTAGCTTTTTTTCGAATTCCTCATAATAACTTCGAGACTGGACTGCGAGAGGCATATTTTCTTTTATCGTTYCGAGTTATTTTCTTCGATGCTGACTGGAAACTAACTACTGTTAATTAATCATTTTAATTAATAATGTATTTTTTCCGCTTCTTTCAACGAAAAGTMTTTTAAGCTTACGGGTTAAAAACGTTTCATTTTATATTATCGGGGRAAAAAATTGCTATCTTTKGAAACATTTAAGAAAACATATTTCTGGAAGCATGTTTCCTCGTTTAGCCAAGGCCTAAGATAAAATAACACTTAAATATTATTATATGCTTTTTACCGTCCTCCATTGTTCTTACTCTTCGCTCCATACTTAGCGGACCAAYGTACTTTGTGTTTCTGACTGCTATAGAGATGACGTAAGTTGTATACTTGAGTAGTGACGTCAGGGTACATGTCGTAACATTACCCACGTCGACTGTCTTGGTCTTTCTTCCCTTTGGTGTGTAGATTATGTTGTATCCTTTCAGAGGACCGTTAACCAATTCAGATTTTTGTAGCTTCGTTATATTGGGAGAAACAAAAAGTTGAATTTAAGTTGCATTGAGACGTAGTAGTAATGTTACTAGTAGAAGTGGATCCGTAGAAGTGTCAGTAGTAGTAGTAGTAGTAGTAGTAGTAGTAGTAGT